AATGTTTACCCGAGGTGCAAGTATTTTCTAATTTTACATATTTTTCATTTTTTTTCCCTGAAGTTGTCTACCGCAAGCTATTTTCAATTTTTATTTTTTTTAATCTAATTCCCTGAACCAAATATAATGTTTTCATAATTTTCTTTTTCAGGACATGATTATCAAGTGCAAGCCATTTCAAATTGAACGATTTTGTATACTTGATCATGTACTTTATAGGCGCAGACTATTTCAAATTTCAACCTGAACATGTTCACTACTTCTAATTTTCACCCGATTGTGTCTACCAGGGGTGCAAGTCACTTGAAATTTAACATTTTTATTCAACTTTTACCGCAAATTGTGTATTGCAAATTTTATATTTTTTAAGATGTTCCAGATTAAAGTTAATTTAAAACATTTTTTTTTCTTTTAAAAACCTCACCAGAGGCGCAAGTCATTTCAAAATAAATCCGTTTTAATTTTTTTTTCCAGAACGTGTCTATTAGGGACACACAACATTTCAAATTCACGATTTTGATAATTTTGCTCTGAACTTGTCCACCAGGGACGCTTGCCATTTCAAATTTACTGATTTTAAAATTACCTGAACCTGAACCTGAACGTATATCAGACGCTAGTTATTTCAAATTTAATATTTTTTAAACTTTTCGTCGAGCTTGTTAATTGGGGACGCAAGTGTTTCAGGGAAATGACTTGGGTACAGTGTATTTTAATAGTTAAAATTAGCGCTGAGAATTTGCTGTCATTGGATTGCTGTATTTTACATATTTTGTAAACTTTTTTTTCGATTTGCTGCTAAGTAGTCGTCGACTACCTGTAACTACCCACAACCACAGCACTGGAGCTGACTCTTTTGAACCTTTCAAGTCACCAGGTAACACCTATTCAAACAAAGCTATTTCAAGCAAGCTTAATATGAATATTCATATATCAGCAGTGTGGTGATAAGTGTGCGCTATGTTGCTAATAAACAGCCTTTAACTTCACCAAGATCCTTCAGACTAATAAGCTTATCGTCTATTATGCTGAAACAATCGAAAAAAAAAAAACAATATATGAACAAATAAAGTCATCATATCTAGTTAGAAATCCTCTGAGCAAATATCAGTTTGCATACCAGGAATGTAAGTCATCAATAACAGCACTACATGCGGTTGTTGCAAAACTATAAAGATCTTTTGAAGCCAAAGAAATTTCACTTGCTGCATTCCTTGACATTGAAGGTACATTCGATAACTCATCTCACGATTCAATGACTACGTGGTTTCAATCAAAGCATTGTAAATTGGATCAATGAGATGTTATCAAACAGAGAAATATCAGCAAACCTTAGAAGCTTACTCGTCAGTGTAAGAGCAACCAAAGGATGCCCGCAAAGAGGCGTGTTATCACCTCTATTGTAGTCTATAGTAGTTGATGATCTTCTCAAAAATGTAATAGCCCATGGCTTCGAAATAGTTGGCTTCGCAGATGAAATAGTCATAATTTTACGTTGCAAATGTGATTGTATTATCGCTAAGAACGCAAATTGCCTTGAATATGGTATCATCATGAAATGACAACATAAGATTGAAAGGCACACGTTTGGAACTTTCTAATGCTGTCAAATATCTTGGAGTATAATGCTTGATAGTAAACTTAATTGGAAGATGCATCTAGAGCAGCCAATAAACAAAGCTACTAATGCTCTATGGATATGCAAAAGAACATTCGGTAAACAGTGGGAACTGAAACCGAAAATGATCCATTGGATTTACTCGGCAATTGTGAAACCCAGGGTTACTTATGGTGCATTGGTCTGGTGGTCAAAAACAAAAGAGAGTGTTGCTCAGAGAAAGTTAGAAAAACTCCAAAGGTTAGCAACTCTCTCAATAACAGGTGCAATGAAAAGTACACCATCGAAAGCATTGGATGCTTTGCTTTATATGCTGCCATTACATCAATTTGTACAATTAGAAGCCGTGCTCTAAGGATTACAACGTCATTGAAACTCTTTTAAGGAGACCTAAGAGGACATCTTAGGGTTCTAAAAACTTGTAGCATCAACTCTCTTGTAAGGAGCAACGAAGACTGGATGGAGATAAGATACAATTTCAATCGACCTTTTCAAGTATTTTATACAGATGGTTCAAGATTGAATAACCAAGTGGGAGCAGGAGTAACTGGCCCAAGGATAAACCTATCGGTTCGTTTGGGCAGATGGTTAGCGGCACCGGTGGTGTAGTGGTAAGCGTGATTGCCTCTCAAATCAGCAGGCCTGGGTTCAATCCCAGTCGGCGCTACCGCGATTTTCTAGGGCATACAATCTCTGGTCATGCCTTCCTTCTGAAGAGAAGTAAATCCGTTGATCCCCGGTCCATGAGTTGATGAATCGATAGGTAGGGTCCAGGTGTGGGAGCTGCCTCCCTGGAGTCGGTAGCATTGGTGCTCAGCACGGAAAACAAGATCGACGGAAAACAAATCAAGGAAAAAAAATATGGGCAGATGGCCAAATCCAAGTAATTTTATAATGTTCTAGCTAAGGGAGAACAGCCCATAATGCACCCCTGGGGTAAAATGCCCACTTATAGAAAAACAGCGATAACTTTTCCTCAGATGCATTTTCCGGGTAACGGTTTGTGATTGCTTTCAACTGGAGGTTTAACAAATAATTCTTGATCATAAAATCATGTATTGACCTACTGATTCCTTAAAAAAATTGCATTTTGTGCAAAACAGGACACAGTTGTTAAAATCATCGACTGTAAATTAAGCATTTATCATCATGTATCACAAAAAAAAAATTAAAAAATTTACGTTTCGTATATTTTTTAGATATTTTACTTGATGAATCACAGTTTAACATTCTATTGAGATTTTGAGACCTTATTTCTGATGTAACATAAAGAAATAATCATTTGAAATACCGCATCCCTTTGCATTATCTACTTGCAGGGGTTATGGTTTGTTTACCATGGGGTGCATTTTACCCCAATGTTGTGGTGCGTTTTGGCCATTGTTGTCGTGCGTCTTGTCCCAATGTTGTGGTGCATATTGCATCATGAATCAGGCGTTTTGCCCCGCTATCATTTTGGAAGCAATTTAAAAAATACCTTGAAAGTCATGGAAAATCATCCTTTTGTAGTTCTAAATCACTCGATCTTTGTAGAAAACATGGTAATGAACCAAACGCCATTACTTTCTTCTTGATTTTAGCTTCCATTCGCCAGCCATTGACGATTTTGCTTAAAGGGTGCGTTTTGCACCATCCTACCCTATATGTTTGCGTAGAAACTATAAGAGTTCAGATATATCAGTCAAGCTGATCTAAATGCTTCAAAATTGGCGACATGTACATCAAAACTTGTCTGGGCGTGTGTTCAATATCTTCAAAAATTGTCTTGTCATATTCAAGTCAACTTATATTGGGTTCCTGGTCATTGCGGGATTGACGGAAATGAAAGAGCTGATACACTAGCAAGACTCGGATCTTCTCATAAGTTCAAAGGGTCAGAGCCCTTTTGTGGCTTATCGGCTGCATCTTTTAGAATTTAGCTAAAAGCGTGGAAATCTTCAAAAGTTGAGGAAAACTGGAAGAACACTTCCATTGCTAGGCAGTCAAAGCGATTCATTAATCCAAACATTTCTGTGACCTACAAAATTCTTGAACCTTTTTAAAAAAGATCTTAGCATATATACAGGTCTTATAACAAGACACTGTCAGAGCCATTATTAATTGAAGCTGATTGGAAAACTTCAAAATGACGCGACATAGTCTGTGGCATAGAAAAGGTTGGACTCGGAACTTTTGCTTCCAATAAAAGGTGTAAGTTCGTCGACAAGGGGCTGATAGAACCCTTTGATATTTGGAGAACAACTCCCAGTACGGTAGTGCACTTTATTCGAAGTGTAATGTCTTGTTGGGATAATGCTATTAGTGAAACAATGGCGATCACTCCTAATAATAGTGATACGGTATCTAACTAGATAAAGCTAAAAAAAAAATGGGGAATATATCACAATAGATCAGAAAAATGGTCGCAGTGATGAAAATTTTGGACAAAGATTTAAAAAAAAATAGGCCAAACGGTCTATATTCCGAACGGTCATTAGGCTGACCGGTCATTAGGCCAAACGGTCACTAGGCCGATCATCCAGACCAAATTCCACTAAACATTAATGTCAAGAAGGAAATTGTACCCCCAATTGTGGTAACTACTTCCGGTTTCCATGCTCTTCGCAAGGAACTTTTGAACTTTATTAAATTTGCGTTTCCAATTCATATTTTCCGTCAAGGTGAATGCCGTGTTTTGGCTGGAACCTTGGATGGATTCAAACGGCGTCTCGATTATTTTACTCAGAAGCAACATACATTTTACGACACCAAAACTGAACGTCTGTTCAAGGCTGTCTTGAAAGGTCTACCGAGTAGTGAATCTCTGGGTCAGATCAAAGATGAATTGACAAATTTATTTGGAGTAGAGCCAGTCCAAGGAATAAAAATGAAAAGAAAATCTTGTCCTGGCGAATTTAGCACAGGTGGTGGCTTCTTATTATATCACATCACCTTCAACGGCGATAATTGATCTTATTAAAAGTCTCTCAAAGCACCATATTTATTCCAAAAAGTTTGGACAGGCTTCATTGTAAACATGATGCGTAGAAACTTGATGCGAAACTTTTCATTGCACATTCATTGATAAAGTACAAATTTAAGGCTAAAATTGTCAAGCATCAGGTACTGAACTTCAAACACCTTCTAATGCTGAAAGATTATGCTAATAATTTGCACAGAACTTCATCATTTACATAAAGTGCCAAAACCCTGCTTGTCCAATCATTTTTGAAACCTCTAATAGCTAAACGGTCTATTGATCTCCAAATCAAAACGATGCTCACTTTAATATATGACTAAATTAGATTGTCTCTGAACAGTGATGCATATATTAAACAACCCGTACAACCCACCATCCTGCACGTTGCAATAAGCTTCACAAATGCAACCCGCTCGTACTCACAATTTCGTATCGTGTCGTCCGGTTCGATAAACACGTCGTCCACATCGAATCGCAAGCTCAGATCCTTCCATACCTGTTCCAAACTGAATCCGATGCTGTCCAGGTAGCGTCGGAAACTTTGCACCTCACTCAGGTTCATAATTTCCAGCTTTATTTGCGAGTAATCTTCGGTGGAAACGTAATCGAAGGCGCTCTCCACCTCGTCGTCATTGTGATAGTAGTACTGCATCAGCGTTTGCACGTCGTCAAACGGAACCAGGTCGATAAAGTCCATTATGTCCTGCTGCAGATGGTGCGACGGTTGCTCCTGGATGTGGCGAATCGTCGGCAGTTGATAGGCAAATATTTGAGTCGTCCCTGGCGACGACGATGATAAAAGGGACAATAGCGTGGCGAATGCAGCAACCGTCACGGCAGGTGAGATTGTTGCTACCGTTGGCGATGATGGAAACGTGCTCCTCTTCATGATTAGTTCGGGTAATTAATTTACACAGACGGTGTCGTATAATTGGGGATCGGAAGTTTTGCGGCGAATCTGCTCGAGAACTTATGAGGATAAAATATTGCTTTCGACGAGATATGCCATTGATTGCATCTACTTTCTTTGGAGTAGCATTACTGTTCAATCGATAGATTTCAACCGTATCCCACTTCAAGACACCCGCGTGAATCCAGTCGCATTTGATCTTCCAATCTAGCAGCGCTGCACATCCAACTGGGAATGGGTAAATGTTCACACTCCGCACAAAACTCTTTCCCGCGAATCGGAACAAAACTTGCCGCAAACGGCTCCGTGAATGGACTAAAAATTTTCTCCACGCGAGTTCGTCATATCTGGTACAAGTTTTGCCTTTCCGCAGGATTCATAATGGGCCCCCTTCGCTCTCAAGTGCGTCGTTGATTGAATTTAAATTGGTCCCTGGTCAGATATAGACTGTGTCTGCGTGGTTCGCTTGGTCGGGTAAATTTGTAAATAAGTCGTAACCGAGACGTTACCGTCAACAGGCATGAATGAATCGGTGTTGTTACTATATACCCACCGACTAAACGACGACAACGACGACGACGATGACGATGTGATGATTCGATTATCCAATTTATGAGAAGTAGCAATTTGGGGTACGGCTGCAGCAGTTATGTGTCTTGCCAAGTGTAAATAAATAGCGGAAACTTGCCTTCCACATGGAGCTGGCAGCTTGGCTGCAATTTCGAAGGGCAATCAAATCTACAGAATTCATCGCCAGTGCTAATTGAAAGTACTTCCTAATTGGATTACTTTTGGGACTTTGGGGACGGAAATGCACCTCCATCGGAACGAACCGAAATGGCATGCGTTGTCGTCTCTATCATATGAGGTGATGACAGGGAGGCAATCGAATTGGCCAGAGTCGTCCAAGTATAGTCGAATTCGATCATAACTGGCCATCATTTTCAGCGTGCCCCCCAGCCTGGTGGTTCATGGTCAATAGAGGGAATTTACTACAGTGAAAGTGGAATGGGACTTGTTTATCAACTATCACCGACATGTGTATTAGGTTCTGTAATGATTTCAATTTGATAACACAGAGTTAGTTCTTTATAATCAACGTTTGAAAATTGTTTTGATGTTTGTTCATGAACCAATTCTTCTTCTAGCAAATGTTTATGATCACTGTTGGACAATGTTTTGACGTAGTACTACGTCTTTGTGGAATACATTAAAAAACTTGTGTGACGATATAGTGTTAGGTTTTAAACGCTTACAATTTGACCGTTTATGGATGGAGTTCATTTCTTGTCATTCTATTTGATTCTGATTTGATATAAAATTTGTTTGGCGTAGACATTTTGGTAGTTCATTGACTTTTTGGATCGATTCTCTTCATCGATTTTCTCTTTGGATCGCCACGGCCGTATGAAAATTCTTCCTTATATTTTCGACACGCAAGAAGCAACAAACTAACATCTAATATGAAAAGTTAATTACGAAATAGAGATTTGATCAATGGTCTATTTGAAAAGTGACGCGCGAATTGTTCAAACTTTTTGGCCGCAATCAACCAATCGCGTGCTTGCTTGCTGCCCTTATAAAAAATAGCATATATGAATGAATGATTGAACTATTCCACAACTGGTTTGGATGATACCTCGAACACGTCTTTAAGCAAATTAACCATAACATTTTTGTTAAGGTATGACTATCGAGAGAACAGAGAGAGATAGAGAGAGAGACGATCCGATAGCGATGTTATAAAAGAGCGTAAGGGAACTGGGGTGAAATGAATACCCTAAGCAATTTCACCGTTTTCTATTTACCTTTCGTTATTCACGCCAACTTTTATAACACAAGCACTCGCGCGTTGTTCTTTGTACAACAGTGTGAGTTTTACTGATGAGCTACCAATCGATCTGAAACAATATGCATCCCTTAAAAAAATGTTTAAAACTAAAAAAAGCTAAATTTTGATTACAGTAAACTCTCAAAGAATGCGGATACTAGGAAAAATGTTAATGGGAACCTCGTAAACGGATTTGACCACGTGGGATTTGACTTAATTGGTTAAAACATGAAATATATCGAGATCCTGACCAGTCAGAAAGTTGCTGTCTTCGCCGAAGTTGTTCAGTAGATCATAACCTTTTTCTGGTGAACAATACTTCGGAATTTTCTCACTACGTAGCGCTAGTATAAGTTTAAAATTCTTGCAGATAGAAAGTAAATGTTTTGGGCAAAGTTGTTCAGGAAGTGAAAATCTTTTCGTTGATGGGCAGCACAGAATTTTTTCACTACCCTCTCAAAATCCTGACCAGCAAGAAAGTTACTGTCTTCGAAAAATTTGTTCAGGGGGTCAGGATTTTGACGTAGAAGGTACTGGGGGTAAATCGAAAATCTAAAATTGCGACCGTCACGAAAAGGTGTAATTTTTTGAACCCTATAAGCTTTGTCATTTATAGATGAAATTAAAATCCAAAAACACCAATCGATAGGAATTACCTTTCGTAAGCTGTTGCAATAAACTTTTTTTCATTTTTTCATAAAAAAAAAATTGTTTTAAAAATGGACAAATAAAAAGTTATAATATTATCCCTGTTTTCATGAAATATTCGTTCTCCCCAAACCCAGTCCTCATAATCAAGTACAATTTGGTTGCACATCGTGCTGCTTGAATCAGAAAAGTTATAAAACAGCGCTTGTGACGGTGTCTAAACAGGTAGCAGCAGCAGCAGCAGCAGTAGCAGCAGCTACAGCAAAAGCAGTAGGAAGGCGGTTCCTGTCAAGTGCGCAGAGTTCGAGTTTTGCACCTCGAACTTACTCGTCGTTCCCGTTGAGATCATTGGCTGCTTGTAGCGGCGTCGCATCGATGGCGCAAGCGCTCCTTGTCTGAATGATAACTACAAATCTCGATTTCTTTTCGGAAGGACATATCAGCTTTTGTAAACAACGCATTTTATCGTCGGTTTGGCATAACTAATATCTCGCCCCACATACTAACACCGCTAACAGGTTGGGAAAATTTTCCCCTATCTGATGGCAGTACTAGCATGCGTGGGCGAGCTACCAGTTACGCCAAATCGACGATTAAATGCGTTGTTTACAAAAGCTGATACGTTCCTTCGAAAAAGTTATTGAGAAATACTTCTTGGGCTGTGTACCAATTGCCGAGTTAAATTTAACTCGTGGTTAAACGTGACATTCCGCAAGTTATTTTCAATGTTCGAAAATGCCGGAAATTGATCAGTTTTCGAACAGAACTCAGCCACGGTTAACAAAATTTAACTTCTAGTCGGTCTGAAATAACCACGCTCGTATAGCAGAGTTATCGATAGCTCATCTGTCACTTTTAACCACGAGTTAAATTCAACTCACTCATTGCGACACAGCCTTGGAAGTAAAATGAGGGCCATCCATAAATTACGTATATTTTTGACCAATTAACCCTCCTTCCTCCTCGGAGCGTGTTTTGCAATACACCTAATACATGGCCGGTCGCAACTTCTGAAACCCCTCTCCTCCCTCAACTACTACGTAATTTATGAAATTTCCCTAATCATTGGGCAACACTGAAAGACAGCAGCACACATCACTCGAAATGGGTTGGACATTTATGCGAAATTTCGTTATTGATAGTCAATATTTCGCGTTCAGAACATTTTAGCTTGAAATCCCTCCATATAATTCACGGTACATCTTTAATCTATTGATTGAATTAAAAAAAGTAGAAGGGTCTGTGCCTAGGGGCACAAACGGAAGCTTGACGTAGGACCGCTAGTGGACGGAATAAATGTGAAGAGCATTAAGTTCTTTAAATTGATCAAATCAGGCATAACATTTGATAACGGAACAAAAGCATTTGTAAACAAACATTCTAAGGCCCTTTACACGTGAACTAAAGTACGCCCACGCAAACCAATACCACTAACGGAAAGGTGATAGTTGCCCCTATGCGATGATGTTGTTGGTTTGCGTGGGCGTACTTTGGTTCGCGTGTAAAGGGCCTAAGATGGTTTGTTTACAAATGCTTTTGTGCCGTTATCAAATGTTATGCCTGAAATATCTATTATCTCAACTCTTTCCGGTTTTGAATTGTAGGCGATCCAAATTTGTAGTAATCTTTTTCAAAAAGAAAGTTGATTACGAGAATCAACAGGGTGGCCAGTGAATTTTCATTTTGAAAATCCCGGGTTTTTCCCGGTTTTCCCGGTTCAAATCTTAAAAATTCCCGGTTGTTAATATGCAAAAAAAAAAAAAAACAAAATTTACTGATAGGATAAAAAAAATGTGATTTAAGAAGATTCCCAAGATTCTGGAGCTTTGAAATTTGTGTAGAGTCTGAAACTAGAACTTTTCTTCAAAATTTGTGATTAATAACATGCTTCGTGATGCAAGATTTGGAGAAACAATAATTAAAATGTGAAGTTTTGAATTTTTTTCAAGATCACAGATTTAAAAAAAAAAACATCATACTTATGAGTCGTGGAGTCATAATTGTCACGCTCTGAGACTTGGAAGCATTTTAAAGGTAATAACAAATTACATAGCAATCTGTAGAATCTGGCGGACAAACCCTGGAATTTTAAGTAAAATTTAAAATAATTCAAAGTATTGATTAAAAACAAATATTGAGAAGGATTCCCACACAGTTTTCGATGGAGAAGAGCAGATTTCCAGAATTATTCTTACATGAAATCCATAGAAATTGTTAGATGAATTTGGAAGGATTTCTTTGGAGAAGAATGCAAGTTCTAAATTAAACTGTTAGGTAATTTTAGTAGATTTAAAAAAGAATTGTGAAAATAAAAATAAAACATTGCAGAAAATTCCTACGTGGTTCTGATGAGATTTGTATGGGCATCGTGAGGAACATGGCAGATGAATTTTAAGAAGAATTCCAAGAGAATTACGATCGGAATTCAACAAGAAACAGAGTTCTTAAAATGTTCTGGCAATAATTTCAACCCTAGTGCGAATGATTCATCACATAACCCAAACAAACTTGATTCCAAAAAATTTGCTGATAATTAGAAAGAAATTCTTTAAAATACTCCAAGGGGTTTATAAATTTATTTTCGAAAGTTTTTTTTGTTTTGAATAGAGTTAAAAGGAATGTTTGAAAAGATTTTTAAAGGAACCAAAGTCTCCAGATAGGCGGGAACGGGAATTATATGAAGGATTCCAATAAATTCTTAGAAGGGGTTGGAAGAAAATTCCTAAAAGAATTCAACGGTAATTATTACGCGGAGTGTTTTCTGGTTTATTTCAGAACAATTTCAAGATAATTCAGCAGAATTCCAAGTTCATTCTGGAATTCATCATGAGAATTTTGAACAACGAAAAATTAAAAC